ACTTCCCCTAAACTCAAATATAAAGAAAGAAATGATATGTTTGGTAGACTTAAATATAAACTAAAGAAAGTTAAACACGACACATCGATGTCTAACTTAACATTTTTTTAAATGATGTTAACACCACACCCTTATTGAAACAGATTAATTTACGCATTTCAAACTCGGATGTTCAGATTCTTCAAGGTTAAGTAAAAATGAAGGTTTGAAAATTGATATATGTATAAGTTTGAAAATGATAGTAAAAATAGGTATAAGTTTGAAAAGGATAAACCTTACACGATAGTTATACTAAAATCGTCACTCACATAGGTCTAAGTTTGTAAATACTTTTTTTTTAAACCGCAACGTGAATATATAGTATCCTATAATATAATACTCATTGCTGTTTCTTCCTCCAACCCGTAAATTTTTTAGAAGACACATGTACAAGCATGGTGGACAATGGAAGTTTTTCACCATACACAATATCTTAAACGGTTCAAAAGTAATTAAAAGTTGAACTGTGACTTCTTCAGGTAAGGGAAACTTGCGCATAAAATTAATGAACAGATTACTGTGCATAAAATTCAGAAAGAATGATCATCTCCTAGCATGTTTATCTTATAAATAAGGATATATGGATTCTATCTGTCATTAAATATTTTGGTATGCCAGCGAACTCTTCTCACATTCTTCCAGATCAAGGATAAGTTACCAATCAGCAGAAGAAGCCTTTGACTTTCATTCAGACCTATATACATGGTTCCAGATAACCAAGTACATACAATTCAAAAGTTCTAGGAGCCTTGGGATGATTTGTATATCCTATATGCAGCTATGCACATTGTGGCATTTCCTATAACAGTCAGTGCCGCTTGAAGAGCCACCAATACCTGCACCATTAGAGAACCCCAATCATGTAACATCTTCAGCATGTTACATAGTCGACCACATTGTATTACATGTAAATAACATATATGGTTAGTTATTGTAATTCAACAAGAATGTTTTCTCAACAGGGTCAGACTCAATAAAGGGCAACATGTAATGGATCAGAATTATTTCACAGAACAACTCAGTAATCCGAAATTTTTAGTTTTGTGTATTCTGCTACACATGGATGGTGGTAATAAATCAAGACGTGCATCTAGTTTATTCACAGAGAAAGACCAAATTCAAGTATCTAGTAGTATCTAATTCTACATCATCGCACAAAGAATTCTCTAACTTTGTCTCTATTCTTTACTCTTTCCAACAGTTGAGTATTCTGCTTTTACTAACTAAATGGAGAGAAAATTGACATTACAAATCAACTATGGCAATCCACCGCTAACACTTACTTCTTACTTTTCAGAGACCTTTCATTAAATTGTAATTTATTTAAACTTTCAATTTAGTGCAGGTATTTTTTCAGCTTCTAGATTTAAAAAGAGAAAACTAATTTCACACTGCTGTGATGAATTAAATTAGATTTCAGTTTATAAAACAGAATTATAAGTTACCAATGTGGCAAAGCTTGATTGGGCAGACAAAAAGAGTTGGCAACCTCTACGGGGCCCTCACTCCGCCCAAATTCAATCTTGGCCTGCCCCCAACACACACAGAGACAAGATATTTAATGTTTTCATAAGTTGGTTATTCCTTCCAGACAACAAAATGCTTTCAAGGGCATTGGTTTTACCTGATTTATAATCTAGATGTTGAATATCCAAAGTATTGTGTAGTCTAAGTTCTGTAATAAGAAAGCCTCCAAAGGAATTCATGCAAAGTCAATGGTGAGTTTTGAAATGTTCTCAAAACAACACTCAAGCATACAACTCCAGGCTCTAAAGTTAAGGTTAGATTAAAGTTAGATATCTAATGGTGAGTAGAATGAATGAGATAAAACAAAATGGAGTGAGATGGAACGGCATTATCATTCCATTATTTAGATTTATTTTATGATGGAAAGGAAACAAATACATGTTCAAAGTGTGGATGGGAAGAAAAAAAAAAGGTTTATTTTATGGAATGGAATGCATTTCATGTCATTTTAAACCATCAATTGCACACAGTCTCGTTCTATTTCAGTCCTTTCCATCAATCCAACCGTAACAAAGCTCCAAAGCCTCAACCAGAATGCGGAATTAATGATCATTGCTACACACACACTCTTCGATAAAGCAAATGTTGCACAATTTTCACAAGAGGAAGCATTTGATCTTTAATTATTAATCGTGTCAATTAAGATTGGTATAAGTAGTAATAATAGAGAGTAGTTCTGCATTAAAGACGAAAAAACCTATTACCTCAAGAGTCTCAGAGTTATAAAAGAAATGCCATGTACACGCGCAAAAAGCTCCACCAAGTAGAGGTACCTACAACAATAAAATGAGATGAAGGAATAGCAAATGATGGTACAAAATAGGCATGAAAAATGGAGAGTGAAGAAACTGAAGTCACTCACCATACCCCAAGAAAGGCCCTTCCAAGCAGGGTATCTAGATTTGTGCCCATATTGCCACACCAAAGCCATGGCTATAATCCTTCATAATTGGATACAAATACAAGCAATGAAGAGAGTAAGTGTAGGAAAATGCATGGTTCATCAGGTAATTTTGATGTGATAATAACGCTAAAGCCAATTGAAACGATGGAGAAAGCAAAGTGACCATTCAGCGACACTGGAGACGTGAATGGCCCATGTAGGCAGTGAGAGGGCATTAGAAGGTTCCTGAAGTTGCAGTTGCAGAGATGCAGCTGGTTCGACAAAGTTGAGGAAGTGGAACAGACCCAGTCCCAGGAAACCCGTTTTCAATTTGGTTTGAATTTCACACTTTACGGTTCTAATTCCACTGTCGCTCACTCTTGGCAAAGGAATTTTGGAAGTGCAAAATGGTTTTGCCAAGTAGAACGCTGTCGCCGCCATGGCCGGAGTTGGAGACTGTAACTGTAACTGCAGCTTCTAATGTTGCAGCTTGGTTTTGGATAACATCCTTTCTCCTTCTTTCATTTAGTTTCTGTAAAATAAGTAATTAAAGCTTTATTTTATAATTTGAAGATAAATAAATAGACCTTCAGAATTTTAAACACTAGATATATTTTTCTATCTTGCTGGAAAATATATTATTTCTTAACTATTTTCAAACCAACTTGTTATTTTATAAATTATCAATCACTCTGGTTTCATTCTATTAGGTCTAATAAATAATACAAAAATATTAATTGAATAAAAATAATGGGACTGAATACATTTTATTTGAAAATATTCAATGATTTTTAATTTTTCATATAAAACATTTAAGGCCTATCCTTTAGCTTTTCTAGTTAAAGGATGGAAACAGTAATAAAACAAAAAAAATGAAGATTCTCAGTGCAAAATTAATTTCATGTTAGAATTTTTAAATATATATTAAATACCAATTGCTGTGATTTAAATAAATTCTCGCTTACTTTATTTACTTCTTGTTGAATGATTAATTTTTCATTCAAAATTTATTATAATTTAAAATGATTTATGCATTGTCATTATTTTCTTGCGTCTTCATATGATAAGTTAAAAGATAAAATTACACCTATCTTAATATATAAAATTTAACCTAAACGTTTTTAATTTGTAGTTACAGTTTAGATTACTAATTCGTAATATCTATTTTTAAATTTATAAAAATATATTTTAATTATATAATCTAAAATATATTTTTCATGATAAAAATATATGAAAAAGATGGATCAAATAAAAGAAGTATTTTTTTAAAAAAATTATACAATTCAAAAAATTAATTTTAACTTTTTTTTCTATTTTCATTGCTTAATATAAAAAATTTGTAATTGCTCAATTTAAAAACAGCCTTAAAACCAAGGGCAAGCTTACTACTGGTAGAAAATGTTGAACAAAAAAGTCATCCATTGCTTACCAAATGAGATACTTCAAGTTTTACAGAACTGATTTTCAGCAATATCCTTTCCAAAAGCCTTCATATCCAAAGCAGCAACAGCTAAACACCAACGGAGAAGAAGCTAAAAGATGTAGTTGAGAGCTTCGGATATTTAAATTACATATTCTGAAAACTTTTCAGGACAAGCTTTTCAAAATTTTGAAACAAGATTTTTAGAAACAAATTTTAAAAAAAAAAAAATTCAAGAATAAGATTTTCTGAACTAAAATTTCAAAACGTATGAGATATATTTTGGAATAAACTTTTCAGATTAGAATTTTCGAAACACATGTGTTTCGAAATGAATTTTCCAAAACATTCCTGCAGAAAATATGTTTCGGAAAGAACTTCTAAGAACACATAAAATACATTCCAAGAATTTAAAAATTTACTTAAATTTTTTTAGTTTTACTTTTACCGCCGATGCGACAAACCAACCTAAGTGAAAAGGATATTCGTACTTTCACATCAATTTTTTTTCCTCCATTTGACATAACCTTTACCTTTTGTTACTTTTCTCTTTTTCTTTTTCCTTACAAAAATAAAATTAATTTTTTTTACTGTTTTACTCTTAAATGAGTTGTGAAATAGCTGTAAAATTGTGTCAAAACAAACTTTTTTTTCAAGTGAAAATGGTTTACCATATAACTGAACTTGAAATCTAACAGAAAGGACAAGATACAGAAATTGCAGGCGGCTACTTTGCATTCTTGCAACTGGATATAGAAAAAAAGTCACTTATGTAAAGTGCTACATACAACTGCATCTCATATATGCATATGGTTAAAATGTGTACCTGTCTCAAGGGTAATTGTTTGTCGCAGAGGCAGTTTTTTAATTTCGGCTTAGTAAGTAGGGAACTATAAATATGTTATTTAGGATCAGTGAAGGCAGTTTTTTAGTATGTTTATGTACTTTCGTGGGAATTATTTGTTTGGGATTCTTACATTTATTATTTCCAGCAAACCTTTTACTTGGAGTTATGTTTTTTGAAAGATGCCCGTTACCGAACCAGTTGACTAGGTTGCAAGTAACGAACTTCAGCCATCAATTATACATTTATTAAATCTAACGGCAACTAACGCATGAGGAGGATCTGGCTTATGTTAGACAGCACCTTGGTTCGTGCGTTCAAAGTAATAAATATTAAATCACAGAAGTTACTGAAGACCTGGATCTTATTCATCCTGAAGTTGCATCTTAAATTGAGATTCCTGAATACATGTGATATTATCACTGTGACTGTGATCGGTCCCTCCTGGGAAGGTGAACTGATGCTCGCTTCAATACAAGATGGACCAATTTGCAGTACATATCCCTGTACCAATACCTTTCAAGAGCTGTATTTTGTCTCACTTTTTCTTCTTCTGGTCCAAATCAGGACAAGACCAAATCCCATCAAAGACATAATTGAAGTCTGCAAGCAAATTTCGCAACTTATAATGCAATTAAATGATAATTTTTTAACAACACTACACTCACTTCTCTATGGAAAATGATGGGCTAATTCCTAACAACCCGGAAATTCATGAAGTGAGACATGTGAATAGGACCCGTACCCTCAATAGCATTCTGAGGGAATTTGTGTGAGGAATCTTCATATAAGTAGAGAGAATGTGGTAGGGAGAGGAATGAGACTTTTGGTATCTTTCTCTCTTATTATTCTCTGATACTTTTTCTTACTTATGATTGTTCGATTCTTTTCGGCAACTTTGGTTGAGAGTAGATTAGCCACAGAATTTGAATAAAACAGCATAGGAAATGAAGCAAGGATTGAACTATTTTATTCAAATTCTGTAACTAATTCATTTCCAATCAAAGTGACCGAAAGAAAAGAATCATAGGTAAAAGAAAACATCAGATAATAATCAAAGAGAAAGATACCAAAAACCTCATTCCTTTCACTACCACATTCTCTCTCCTTATATGAAGGATTCCTCATACAAATTCCCTCAGCATCAGCATGCTATTGCAGGTACAGATCCTAGTCTCAAGTTTCACTTCCTGAATTTCCAGGTTGTTAGCAACTACCCAATCATTTTCCATGTTTTGTCCCTCTATTTGCATATTTGCTACATTATTATTTTCCCTGTAAGACTGTCCAGCTTACACCTTCGTTACAAATACATCTCTCAATACACAATACACAATCATTTTCCATGTTTTGCCCCTCTATTTGCATATTTGCTACGTTATTATTTTCCCTGTAAGACTGTCCAGCTTACACCTTCGTTACAAATACATCTCTCAATACACAATACACAATACACAGGCATGAGAGCCCAAAGCTAGTCTTACTCTCTGGATCACACTCAATTAATCCCCACACTGGACGCACAAACTGACATGCCATATACAGAAAAACACGCATACATAACTATAAAATGGTTACTAAACGCAAAACTGCCCAATAGTAATTAAAAGCATAAGAAAACTACCTTGCAGTTCACGTAACTGTCCTCTCAATATGCACAAGTAGATACAAATGCATTATATTTTGTTGAAAAAAGCAAAGGTTTGCATCTTTCAAAACATAAAAGCTATCGGCCGTGTAGCTATAACAATGCAGTTTTAAATCATATATCATTCTATTCATCATTTTTATAGATTTAAAATCATATATCATTGAGGTAAACAGATACGTACACAGTCAAACTTATATGTAACAGGAAAGAGACACAAGAGGGTTTGTATTACCAGACATATATGATCATAGTTGAAGTTTAACTGGCGGAGAAACTTACAGAAATTGCTGGAGGAATAGCCACTACTGGATCTTCAAAGAATTTATTTGCAAGGGCCAGGGCTAGCAAGCTACTTTGCATTCCTGCCATTAGATAAATGAAGTTATTGAAGTAAAGATGATATTACAGGCCTTTGATGTCTAAAAATTGTGTACCTGTCTCATAGGAAATTGTTCGCTGCAGTGCCTTTGCATCAAGAGAATCACGGAAGACAAATCCACTGAGGAAATAACCCGCTATGAAAGATGACAAATGAAAAGCAACAACAAGGAACAAGATAGCGACTCCCAAGGAGGATTTCATAGTCTCAACATTCAAGGCAAGTGGTGCTCCAGCACAGATAGCCGCTACCAATACTGACAGAGGAGGCAAAAATGGTCGAATAACATTACAAATCCGAGGAAAGAATCTGTAAAAATGAATGGGCAAGAAGATTACACCTTTTAAAAAAAAAAACACACTGATGTTAACATATGTCTGAGATCGTGGTATTACCGATTTAGAAGCAGGCCAACTGCAATAGGTACCACCACAATCTGTGTAATGCTATACACCATTCCTTTTACATCTATAGGCAATTTCTTCCCAATGAGCAACAGTAATAAGAGTGGCGTGACAAAAACCGCTGAAGCAGTGGACAGTGATGTCATAACTATGCTTAGAGGTGCCATTTGTGGATCCGTCAGGAAAGTAGCATAACTTGAAAGCTGGGCACCACTAACACAAGCCACCAAGACAATTCCTGCACCTGATTCATTTTACAGCCAATAATTAGTGCATCCAAGTAGCACCTTTTATTGTTAAGAGACAGCAACCTCACCTACTGTTGTTGGTAGGCCTAAAGCAGTTACTGCAATCAGGCAAAACAGATATCCAAGAAGAGGCTTCACAACAAACTGGCCAAAATAACCAGTGGCAATTTCTGCTGGCCTCTTAAATGCCTCAATGAAGTCATTTTCATTTGAATTAACCCCAACTGCAAACATCAAAAAACCTAGCGCTGGTGCATAGTATCTGCAAGAATATTTGCAGTTTAAACTTTGAAGAAATGCAGCATGAAATTCTACATCAGGGATAATTGTTGTTACTTCATTAACTGCAAATCATCTGACTATTTAAATTTGCAAAATTGCAACTACTCGCATAACAATCTTGTTATCAATCAATTCATCAGAACATCCACAGACCTGCTGGTAAACCACGTTAAAGAACGTGGGTAGATTAGAGCAAGTAGTATGCTAGCAATGAGTACATGAGGCAGATATGAATTTGATTGCTTCAGAATCTCCAGAATAGAAATTGAATTTTGCTCCACCTGAGAAAAAAGAAAAAGAAAATAAACAAAAACGAAGATGCCTTTTTTCATTTTCATTTGATTACACGCATGAGAGAAGCCTGCATAGTGCATATGCATATCTGCAAGTCAAACTTGATTACAGGAAAGAAGCCTGAATGTTCTGAATCTCGATGGAAAAGGTAGAAAGAAAAAAAAATTGCAAAATGTACTAGAACTAATATTTCCGCAGATTTTTCATCATGTGCATAGACATATAGAAATGTGTGCATAAGAAATATCAGAAACATGCTCTTTTCAATACACTTTATTATTGAGAAAATTGTATGTGAGAATCATTAAATGGGAAGTGGAACAAGTGATTTCGTGGTTTGTTCTTGCACATGAATTTCACAAAATCACTAGCACGAGAAAAGAAAAGAAAAACTGATTCTGTAAAAGTATTGATCAGGAGGGAAAATACTGTAACAGATGTAGCAAAGAAGAACTGCGTCATAAAATATCATGTAAATGGTTAAGGATGGCAATCATGTATCATTCGAAATTTCAAATGATACATTCATTTTTTATCCCGATTATCCTTCGGCCACTCTCTAAACTAAAAGATTTCACGCATCCGGTACCGTAGTTTAGTGGACAAATATAGGTCTTAGCTGTGCCATTGTAGAATTGAAATTATTGGTAGGTCTGGGCTATGATGAGGCCATGCTTGATTTATCAGGGTTAAAACTATGTTTCTGGACTATAACGAGTCCGAACTCCTAATTAAGTGTCTGCTAACCATTTTTTATTAGGAAAAACACAAAAGAGGTCAGCATCAATATCAATTACTTGTGAGGGTCGTGTTCCGAAAATGCTTTAGATCCTCTCCTCTTTGAAGTTACTCAGAGGATCCTGTGCAACAATCTTTACCATCTATTAATCTAACAGTTAAAGTAAAAATTAAAAAAACAACTAAAACAATAAAAATTAATTAATTAGTTCTCAAACCATGTGAATTTAGTATTTTTCATAATTCTGCGAAAAAATAGTTACAACATGTTAACTTCAACTATAGCGAAGGAATAAAATCACACATTTTCCAGAATTGAAAGACTGAATTCATCTATTTCTGTTTAAAAGTACAATTACTGAAAACAAGTATGAAACTAAAGGGTAGAAAGAAAACATACTTTAACCATGAAAGAATAGTGCCTAGTTAAGGGGAATAGAGAATTTGTTAGTTTTTATTGAATATTAATGTAAAAAAATGCCGCAACTGCAACGCTTAAAATTTATGAACGGAAGACGAGTTTTAAAAGCGGGAAAAAACTTAAGAATAGAGATGTTTTTTATGCTTTCCCTAATTAGAATTGAGGTCAAATTTCTCTGACTGGAAAAGACCTGCAGCTGTGCTTTGTCTTTTACAAAAACAGCTCAAACATTTGTAAGTTAAGTCAGTCACGAGTCAAACGCTTGTCAAATTTTGGGTTTTATTGTTGAAATGGTGGTAACAAAGAATAAAAATACCTGGGTGGAAGCAGAGGTTTGAATCTGCGAGGGATCGGGTGGGAGGGAATCCGATGAGTCCAGCGATGCAAAGTGTAGGCTCGGAATGTTGGAATTCCGGTCTACAGAAACAGAACAACGGAGATATGAAGCATAACAGTAACTAGTAGGGATTATTGTATTTGAAAAGAGAAGCAATAATAGGTGCAGAGAGAGAGAGAGGGAGTAGTAGTGTAAATTACATGGGAATAGTGAATTGAAGCGAATGGAGATTGGAGAAGAGATATTATTGTTGGTGGAGAAGCATGATGATGAGAGCATAATTGGGGATTTGGGTTTGGAAAGACAGAGGAGAGAGAGACGCGTGGAATGAATGTTGTGAAACTGCTTCACTGCACCTGAAATCATGGCTGTGTTCATTCTCCTGTGATGATGCTCAATTTTTCAGACTGCTTCACTGCGCCTGATTCTACTGAATCTTTCTTACTCCTGTTCCTTTCGACATCTAACCACGACACTGATGTTTTTCCCAACTTGACTGAGTTTTTCTCATCATCAGATCCATTTTTGAAATGAGAAATCTATCAATTGCTCTTTATTGTTTATATTTTTCTTCTTCTTTAGTTCTTAATTAATTTTGTTTATGCATGATTATTAAATTAGAAAAATTAAATTACTATATATTTTTTATATTTTCATAAAAATATGAAAATGATATAAACATACAAGAAAAATAATTAATGTAATGAGTATCTTAACATCCGTAATAAAAATTGAAGTTACATTTTAATTATACTTTATTTATATAATTATGTTATTATTTTAACATAATTTTTTTGTTTAACGAACTTATAATGATTTTAATATTACAAAAATTTTAGGTAAGGTTATATATTTATATTGATGAAACATTCGAAAGAGAAATTATAATGAAAAGAACAATAATGAAAAAAGTTAAAAAAAAAGTTAACATCATTTATAAATCGTGACCTTAAAACAATTATTTCTGAAATTGAGAGTTAACTTGGTTGAAATTTTTGTTGGTCTCTCATTATTCTAGTTGTCATTTGATTTATTTATTTGTCTATTGATATTTTCTATTAGTTGAAATATTAAAAGTATGATCAATCTTTATGAGTTGTGAGAAAGTTTAAATTTTGTTCCTTATTTTATTTTTGTAGTACGATTTTAATAAATTCTGTTATTGTGTTTTTTTTTTTGTGGATCTTAATATAATTTTCTCATGGCTGAAAAAAAAGGTTTTTGTTTAAAAAAATAAAAATCAAATGTAGAAGGTTTTCTTATGCATAATTTTCAATATTTAAGATTAGCAAAATTTGAAAAAAAAAACGTTTACTTTATAATTTATTTATTGTATTTTTAAAATTTAAAATAATATGAAAAATATAAGGACAACAAAACGAAAAGTAAAAAATATACTAATAAATGCTAAAAAATAAGAAAAAAAATATACACGTTTCAATTTTGACGAGTAAAGTTTTAATGTGAATAGAACATTTTATATATTTTTCACTTAATTAAGTTTTAACTAATATATAAATTCAGATATTTTGAATTAAGTTTTATTATTAAAACTTTGTGTTATATTGCGTATTTAAAATATATTTGATCTTTTACTTTTATATTGTGTTATATTGGGGATCAACTTGTGTTTTTCTTTTTTCATATTTTCAATCCATTGATAGATTCATTTTTGGAGAAATAATAAATAATTTGACAAAAGAGTTAGAGAAAATAAAAATAAAATGAATTTATTAGTAAATTGCAAATGATAAAATAAAAGTAATAATTATTTTATTTCGTTATAAAAAATTTCAAACGAACAATACTTAAATAAAAATAAATATTTTTAACATTTAATACAATATTTTATTTATAAAAATTTAACAAATTTTTTTTTAATTTATTATATACTTACAAAGTTAAGTAAGTTTATATTTTTTTTTTGACCAAAATGTTTTTTATTTATATATTTTTTAGAAACACAACATGTTTATTTTCAATTGTCTATATATTTTTTGTTTATTTTTTATTATTTTTATTTTCACATTTTTTGGTACTTATTTATTTTTCAACTATTATTTTTTTTTTACCCTTTTCTATGTTATTTCTTTCATCTCGAAATTTGACAATCCAAATATAAGGCAAAGCATATTTGTTTCAATCTTTTATAAAATTAATTTGTTTTTGTATGTGAAAACACACATTAAAATGTATATAAAATTGTAGATGTTAACTGACAGAATAAGTACTTATATATATATCTAGACAACTATGCACATTACAATACGTAAAAGGGAAAACAAATTTATTTACATTGTGGATCAACAAATTTTGATGTTAATTATATACGTCCATATATATTTAAATAAAAATATATGTGTTATTATTTTATCAGATATCTGATGTATAATTTAAACAAAAAGAAAGTTAAACAAGTAATATAAATTACATATGCAAATGAAAGTGAAACGTATAATTATACTGTAGAACAATGACGTGTGTAATTATTTTAAATCGACGAGTGATTGGTTTATTTTATGTTTTTTTACTGTAATATATATATTAGAACAATAACTTTTAAAATATAGTTAATAATAAAATAGAATACGTACCTCATTATCATAAATTAAAATATAATTAGGACTAAAATTAGACTATAAAAAGTTTATGAATGGTATCTTTTCTCTCTCTCTATATATATATATATTCAACTGGTGAAAAACAAACTATTTAGTTATCGTGGTGGAAAACAACAAAGAAAAGAAAGCAGACAGTGAGGTCCACAAGGTCAAAACGGCAGCGTTTCTATGACACTTGATTTGATTATATTAATATAGATATTATTACACATTATTACTATTTTTGTAATCTTCTTCCATCCGCACCTCCCTTCATTTTGCGGGAGTTAGCGGTTGCATTTTGTGTTGTGCTCAATCCAAACCGTTACTGTGCCCCACAAATCGCTGAGACTGCGTTTAGTTTCATTCCGGTGGCGTTGAAGCCACCGTTGACACCGTCGAACCATCCTAGCCTTTCAAATTCCAATGACATATTTGGATGAGGATGGCATTAACGTCGACGGTGATCATACGAAGGATGTGATGCGTAATCACGGTGGAGGAGAATACGTCAAATTGAGGTGGGACCCCCAATCGGAGGTCACTATCACCACCGAACGGAAAGGCTCGCGTATATGGTATTGGGTCAAATCGGGGCTCTGTTTCCTATGTCTGGGCTGCGTGGCTCTCCTTGCTGCCAAATGGGTTGGCCCATTGTTCTTAGAAAAGGTTTCATCTTATTCTTCCTTTCAAATGCCTTATGCATTGCGTTTGCATTTGCATATGCTTTTCTTGTTTTTTGTTCTTTCAATGCAATGTGATTTCAATGTTCACATCAATTGTAAATTGTACATGCACTTCCTCAAGGGTGATGGTCTTTTTTCAGAATTGGAATTCCTTCTTGCTAATCTACATAATACAAGTTTGTTGTAATGATAAATTTAAGATATAGATATAAAATTTCAATTCTGCGGGGCAAGAACGTGTTGGGTAATATAAGGTAGATAGACGAAACTTATTTTGAAAAGAGAATACATCACAAACATATTTTTTACTTGTAAATTACAATATTGAATGTTGAAACTTCTATCTCATGATGCATTGCTTTTATTTGCAGGCGATTATTCCGATGATAAATTGGGAGACGAACAGATTCACTTCACCGGAGCTAGCAGTTCTGGTGTTTGCTTCTGTAGCGCTATTCCCTACCCTAGTTATGCCATCCTCCCCTTCTATGTGGGTGGCTGGGATGACATTTGGTTATTGCTTTGGATTCTTGCTAATTATTACTGCAGCAGCAATCGGAGTATCACTTCCTTTCTTGATCGGTTCAATCTTCCATCATAAAATTGAGGTACATGTGTTGTGACTTTAGATTAAGTTGATATCTATCTTCACACGTTTGCCTCACATGTGATTCTTTGTAGGAGTGGTTAGAAAAGTATCCAAAGAAAGCTTCTCTGCTAAGATGTGCTGGAGGGGGAAATTGGTTTCATCAATTTCGGGCAGTTGCTTTAATCAGGGTTTCTCCATTCCCATACATACTGTACAACTATTGTGCCGTGGCAACCCGTGTTAAGTATTGGCCTTACTTGATCGGATCCTTGGTAGGGATGGTGCCAGAAATATTTGTTTCAATCTATACGTAGGGTCTTCCTTCTTCTCTCACTGTCTCTAGTGCTCACTTTATTTTACTACTCTGTTTTTGTTACCCCTGGTCGTTTTCGTACTGGTTTACTTCTTGAATATCTAATAATTGCGAGTAGATTTAGAAGTCTCCATGTGCATCAGAAAATATAGAAGATGACCAGTTTTTGCTCAATTTATAATGCCCATGCCATACTTTTGTATTTGTATAATTGGTTCAGATTACTTTTCCTCCCCAATATGAGTATATTTCTCCATAGTAAGGATTATTTCAGAAAAAGATAATCTCTTAGACCTTGATTCATCATTAGTTGATAATTGCTTCAATTAAGTATTATGACACCTGACATGATTGAGATTCTCCAACCTGCTTTACTATATATCCTTTGCTGTAAATTGTAATATGTTATTGCTCATGATTTGTCAAGTAAAATAAATATATCTGGAAATGATTGGACGAATTAATTAATCTTAATAATAACTAATCCAGTTGTATTGGCCTAGTAGTGGGGAGGGATTTTGGAAGTTTAGGTTGTAAGTTGAAACATCAACTATTTCAGTCAGTACGCCTAAAAATATCTGTTGCTAAAATTGGCAGTCTTTCTATTTTACCTTTTTTAATTTCGTATGTGCAGAGATTTTTCTCACCTTTGGATTTTTCAATGCATGGAGTCTTTAATCTTATAAAACTTCTTTATTTGTTATTGGGACCAAACTCAACGATTGTTTGTTGTCTTCAAAGTTTGTTCATTGAACAGATCAATACGAGTTGATTCATTTCCATTCATAAATGTTACACTGTCATCTTTGAAACAAGTGCATCTTTTATTGTGTAAATGTTTTCGTTACTATTTTATAATATTCTTTGAGCAGTGATGTGTTATTGGGGAATGTTATGGAGTATTTCCTCTTAAGCACTGCCCTGCCCCGGGTCATCTGTGAAAACTCAAATGCACTCGAACTGTTATTCCTTTGCTTGGCTTCATCTATCTCCATTCAAATATTTTTATCAGCTAACAGCAGTGATGATTTCCCTTAACTGATACTTTCATGGTTGTATTTTGCCATTTATTCTATGTCCTTAGCCATTTCAAATGTTGATTTGTATATTTTACAAAGATAGGAATTAAGAACTAATGATGCGGAATATCATATTAAATTCATTGTCTTCCACTGCAGGGGAATTTTGATAAAAACATTAGCGAATGCTAGACATCATCATCACACTCTTTCTGCTCCGGAAATTATCCTCAATGTTGTTGGCTTCTGCGTAACTGTTGGTACAATAATCTTTTTCACCGTCTATGCTAAGAGGA